GACATAACCAAACACTGGAAAGTGTTTTCCAGTTCATTTTCTATAACACTACCAAACATCGGAAAATACTTTACTTTTCAGGAATTCATTTTTTCTGGAATTCACTTTCCCGGAATTCACTTTCTCCATAATTCACTTTTAAAAAAAAAACAACTTTCCTACAAACAAACAGACCTTAATAACATCGAAAAATACTTTACTTTTCAGGAATTCATTTTCTCCAGAATTCACTTTCCTGAAATTTACTTTCTTCATAATTTACTTTTCAAAAGAAAGCAACTTTCCTACAAACAAACAGGCTTTAATGTCCATTGCCAAGCACACTAAGCAGCTCCTAAACTACTATAAGAAACACAATACTATCCAGTTATTCTCCTCGTGAAATTATATTTCACTAATTACAGTAACAATTCATTGAAAACCTCAATAACTGATCCCATCACTTAACAAGAAGACCAAAACACTTAAATATCACATCTTTATATTTAAAGCAAGAAAAAATAAACCTTTTGAATTGAATTTATTTTTTTTATAAAAAATTAACTTGGTCATGAATTTCACTTTCTTTTTTTCTTTTTTTAATTACATGGAGAGTACTTGGATCCCATTAAAGTAAATAATTTATCAATCACAACCAATTACATCATGAATTATTTTAGCTCTAAAAACTAAAAATAATGCTTAAATTGAGATTAAAAAAATAAATAGATGAAGAGTATATGTTATTATGATAGTAATTATTTTTTTAAGTATTTTTCATTTAAAAAATATATTGAAATAATATTTTTTATTTTTAAAATTTATTTTTAATATTAGACATTAAAACAATTTAAAAAATTAAAAATTTAAAAAATTTAAAAAAAAATTAACGAAAAATTAAAACGAAAAAACACAAACATATAAACAAACATTGGAGGGAGAAAACTTCGCTTGGAGATTCTTGTGGGCAGCTTACAATTGGGAAAAAGGCAAAGCCTCAGAGGCGATTTTTAATTATTTACAGCTTGGGTTTGTTTGTAGTTCTGTAAAAAAATTAAGGACAAATCAGTCCTTTCATAATGAACAGGTTGTTGTTTACTGATAATAAGGTTGAAGTAATGGAATGCAAATAAAAATCAATTCTTTGCAGACAGAGATGGCAAAATTCTCACTTGAAGATGGAGAAGGGTCAAGCTTTCCAAGGCCAAAAAGACAAAGACCCTCTTCTCCTTCTTCTCGTCCTCCTGATTTTACCATGGAAGAAATTGTTCGCGAGGATGAAGAATCTGAAGAAGATGAGGAAGAGGACGATGTGGACACAAGTGATGGAAGTGAAGAAGAAGAAGATGAGGAGGAGGAGGAGGAGCAGGTGGAAGAAATAGTTAGACCACAGCCACAACCACCACCACCACCACCGCAACAACAAGACCCATCCCCACCGCGGCCGCAAGAAAATAATCAGATAACAACTGTGGGACTACGGCCACCACAGCACAGATTGTTTGAGGCTTCAGTCTTTCTAGGACATACTCTTGTGGGGCCAAGCAGAAATGGGGCTATTTATGCAACTTTATCAGACCCAGAAGTTCTTGATTGTCCCATCTGCTGTGAATCCTTGACCATTCCTGTTTTTCAGGTATTTGTTTTTTCCAGCTGAATGCCATTTCTTCCGTTTTAATGACGTGTTTATTTATATATTTGTGTTGAATATGGTAATGGGTTATTGGAATTTTGGGCTGAGATTCCATCTTGATGCTTGTATTTGGTATTTTTTGGGTAAAATTCTGTTCAATTACTTTGAATTTCTTTGATTTTGTATCTGGTTTTAGGTTGTTTGTTTGTTCTTGGGATTATTTTGTGTGTGAGAAAGGTTTGTTGAAATTGAATTTTTCTTTTCTAATTATGCAGTTGTTTTGTGTAAAGATCAGAGCTATGTTGTTACCATTTGACATCTCTAGGTAGATAATAAGACAGACATAGGATGTTTATGAAGAGGAAGTTATTTTCAGGTCTTGTAAAAAATTCCAGTATGTGTGGTGAAGTGGCTATGAAAGTAGCAGTAATTTTCTTAAAGGTGGCTAGTTAATGTAATGGATTTAAGTGTCACTTGTTTGATTGGAATGAAGTTCATACTGCCTTGCATGTTGGAGGTCCAGAAATTTAACAATTTAATCAGGTACTTCTTGGAAAATGGTTGACGCACTTTGCACAAGAGTATTTTGGAGGAGAGTTGTAGGATCGAAGCATGTTGATGGAGATGGTTGGTGATAAAAGGCAGTGAATGTTTTATGTGAAGCAAGTTTGTTGAAAGGTATTAGAGCAGGCTGGGATGATTTTACAGAAGGATTTCTGGTATGGTGATAGTAGTTCCAGGGGATGCATTTTTTTTGCTGTTATGTTACAGTGGAAAAATGCTATGGTTTGTTGTATGTGATGGTCCTGTAGGTTCACTGGAGCCCAAGTTTGCATATTTCATTCTACATGCGAAATATCTTCAGAGCTAACTTTCCAGATTTAGAGTGAAGAGAGATTTAAATGGGTGGTTGAAGATCCATTGCCTCGGTGTTCTTCTAGGATTATGAAGTTTGAACTTTTAGGAATAACATAATCATTCTGCTCTGCCAAAAAATGCTTTCAGGTTATGTTTATAGGGAAAGTTTTTAATGTCATGGGGATCAGAGAGGTTTTCATCATAGTTCAATTCAAAACAGTTTTGATCTTCCAGTTATAAGCAACTTGTGTGATTTAAAATTTCATAATTGCTCTTTAAGCATTCTTAAAAAAAAAAAAAAAAAAAAAAGTGTACACATGGACCTCTTGAGAAAACAAAACGTTGAAAAGTTGATCAACAGAAATAACATTCCTTTCCTCTGTGGTGATCTTTATCAGTAGTTGATCTAAAAATTAGTGCTATTTCACTTGCATTAATTCAATCCGTTAGTTCTTTATGTGAGCTATTATATGATACATATGATATTTTTGCCATGTGAGTAACATTTGTATTGATTTTTTCGTTTCTGGGTTCTTGCTGGGAAATTTAGTGTGAGAATGGACATACAGCTTGCTCTTCATGCTGCAGAAAACTTCAACACAAGTGTCCTTCTTGCGCTATGCCTATTGGCTATAACCGCTGTCGTGCCATTGAGAAAGTTCTTGAATCACTGAAAGTATCATGCTCCAATAGGAGTTATGGGTGCAGAGAAAGCATTTGTTACAGTAAGAAATACGAACATGATAAGAGTTGCGCCCATGCTCCATGTACATGCCCCCTGCCAGCTTGCAACTACCAGGGCTCATCTAAGCATTTGTACCTGCATTGTAGGAGTAAACATTTATGTGACTTGACATCTTTCCAATTTAATACCAGCTTCCCTCTTTTCTTTATGGTTGATCACAAATTCCTTGTTCTTCAAGAAGAGAAAGAAGGTGTTTTATTCATTCTGACTAATAGATCAGAGTGTCTTGGAAATGTGATCACTGTTAGTTGTATGGGGCCTTCTTCATCAAAGCAAGGATACTTTTATGAACTCACAGCAAAAGCGGTGGGAAGCAATGTCAGATTCCAATCTTCCACTAGAAATATCCAAACCAGAGTTGATCACCCTCCATCACTGGGGTTCCTTCTAGTCCCAAATGATTTCCTTGGTACCCATGGGGGGATCACCTTGGATGTCTGCATATGGCGTCTTGACTCATATCCTTCTGTAAGCTCTGCACTGGGCAGCTCTATGCAATGTAAGTGAATAAAAAAGAACCAAATTGCAACTTGTGAGTGGCCCTTTCGAAATTGTAAAAGCAGATGTGACTAGCCTGCTTCGTAGTTTCTTTATCCTCGTTTAATTTCTGATTGAATCTTTTTATTATGATGATATTACTACAATGATATTCATTTTCTACCCATTGGTTTATTGGTCTCCTCTTAAATGACATGTTCTTATTCATGATATTATCACCAAATAAATGATGCATCTTGAAATGTATCTGTCAGAAGTGTGTTTTTACCTATTGGTTTATTAGTCTCCTCTTCTTCTTTTTTTTGGTGCAAGTGGTTTGGTCTATTTTTGTCCCAAGTGGTTCAAAAAATAAAATAAAATGATAAAGCTTTTGTTGCGTAAATTATATGAAGAAAAAAGCGATGAACAGAAACTTCTTGCTAGTAAATGTTTTTTCAGCATTTATGGTTTTGTTTCAAGAGGGAAATATGTATCAGAGGGGCATCATAATTCTGGGAAAATTGCTCTGGTAAGGTTGCAAGAAGTTTCAACATGTACAAGCACCGCTTATTTTATAAACATAAAACATGCAATGGACTTGGTGACTGCTTACGAAGCACTGAAACTCTTGTCATCCAGTTTTCAATGGAATTGGGCAGATGAAACAACCATGAGCAAATACTTAGAATGTACAAGGAACTTGTAGTTTCCACCCCACTAGGTCGTGGATGCTATGTTGATGTCCTCGCTTTGATCAATCCATTTGATCCACAGAAGCGCTTTCCTAGGATTGAAGGTTGCAGCATCAAGCATTCCTGGTTTTCTCTGTTGGGAGTAGTTCACGAGATTGGGTGATTGCTTCATGCTGAGAAATTGATTCAGGAGGTGAAGTGGGCAGCTGGTCTGACATGACACTTTCTTTTTTTTAACTGAGTAATTGTATTAAAAGGAAGAAAATGTACAGGGTACGATGGGTATATCTCTATGAAATACAAATGTTTGTTATCCTAGTTTATTGACAAAAAATATCAAGGTAAAGAAGCAAAAACTAAAAAAGAAAAATGAAAAAGAGAGGTAAAGAAGCAAAAACTAAAAAAGAAAAATAAAAAAGAAAGACAAAAGCAGATTATAAAAACAAACAACAAATGATTATAAAAATTCCTTAACTGGTAGACTAGTTGGTTATATATGAAATTATACTAATAGAATATTGAAATCAGCAAAAGAAATTGTATCTTATGACCCTGGAAGACATCAGGTGAATCTGAAAATACCTGGGGTATGAAAGCTTTACCAAATGGACCAGATCAAATCAGAAATATTCTCGTAAACATCTCGATGAGATTGGTAAATCTAATAACAAACTCAGTTATTTTTCTCATGGTAAATAAAGTAAATCTAAGTTGAGATGACTAACTAAGTAAAGAAATGTGTAAATTTTTTTTTTTCCTAGTACATGTATGCCCATAAAGTAGCTGAAATCATATCAAAAAAGTCAATCATAAAGTAAATCTAAGTTGAGATGACTAACCAAGTAAAGAAATGTGTAAATTTTTTATTTTTTTTCTAGTATATGTATGCCCATGAAGTAGCTGAAATCATATCAAAAAATTCAATTCATAAAGATCATGCTTATAATAGCATTTTAAATTGTAGCAGAAAAGGTATTGAAAAAATAAATGTTGATGTGTTTTGACTTGTAACCCACAAAGAACATATGTTCAAAAAATATTACCTGAAAAGCATATAGTTTGTCCACAATTTTAAGATAACCCATAAGGCTCATAATCTTGAAATAACTCATAAATACAAGTTATAAGATAAAAGAATATCTTGGGATGAAACCTGAGAACTAGAAAAGATGATACATAAAATTTATAGGTTTAAAATTTTTAAGAATCTCCATGATTAATAATCTTTTCAAACACGGTATCCGGTAATGCATTTCTAAGATTAAAAATAATTGAATCCCAAATAGGTTGGAGCAAATAGGCTGGAGCTTTGAACTAACCGATAAAAAAACTCAAATATCCCCCTCAATAATATTTAAAACCTAAGCATTCTACAATAACTTAATAGAAATGAACATCCTAAAAAATACTACATCACATAACCGATACCTATCTAGTAACCAATCATCTAACCAAAGAAATAGCAGCCCCATCATTACTCACCTAGTAGCCAATAATCTAACTACGGAAAGGTAATAGTCTCATTACCAATTCTGGATACAAACTTTTCTCGCACAACACAGACATGCATGAACAACAGTTTGAGGTGGTGGCTCTACTACGGTTCTTCCAGTTGATTTTCATTAGCTGATAAAGAGATGGTACATTAATACTATTGGAGATCAAGTAACTTCCATTACTGCCTAAGCGTGATACAAGGGATAATTACAATTACTGCAATCATAAACGTATACAGTACAAAGCAAATCGTAATAAGCTGATTATAGTTATATTTACACGATATCAATTGAAAAATAACCACTTAGAGCTGTTAGAGATCTGATTTCTAATAGGGGATACTACAGCAACTTCCAACACAACGTGGACATTATCAGATATATATAGAGACTTGCAAAAGCATGAATGACTATCTATGTACAGCAATGTTAAGATGAATGATGCATAAACTGGGCATGGTTTGCTTGGACCTTGAACAGCAAGGCGACCCATCCGATTCATTAGTGCTACTTCTTCATAATAAGATGCTACACAACTAGCTCAGGGCGCAGTTGGCAGTGCTTTCCCTGTTGGACATTAGTCACACCAGTCATCTGTTTAAGCTGGAGGGGCGTTTATCAACCATCTGTCAACACCCATTTATTAACTGAAGTAAATAAGTTCAGATTGGGATGCAGTTTCTTCCACAGCCGTCCACCAGTTATCATCTTCCTCGTCATTATTATCCTGGTTCCAGAATATAAAAAAATAATCAGGTTCAATAAATATCATGTTTTTAATAACTGCATACATTCAAATTTGCAGAACTTGGACTGCTGAAATAAACTTGAAACTTCAATTCTGGTAGCTATATTTGTTACTAAGCAGGCGAGACATTTCCAGTTTGGATGTTATCGCTATTGATGAGTAAAATGTGTAATTTTGCCATTCACCAAGTTACTATCAGAGACAATGGAGCACTTCGTCAATTTTGAGATAAGTTCTCTGCAACATGCCTGCCACAGAGAACCTACTTCCCTGGAGGCATATCCCTGATCCCCAACATAATTCTGGTTCCATCTGGACATGATACAATAATCAACGGAACAGGAAAGTAATGCTTTGGGCATTTGACTAAGAAAATCAGAATCTGCTTCAACAAAGTAACCAATGAGAGAAAAAGCCGAAGGGAGCAGAGGATGGGAGGGAATGATGATATAACAACTCTTGACATGGGAAATGCTATGAGATAAGATTAAGCAGGACTCTTGAAATGTGACTAGAGCAGTACACTAACCGATGTCTTCTGCTTATTTTCAATATCATCTGCAACTTTTATGGCTTCAAGCCACCAAGAATCTTTAGAACAGCTATCTGGGTCATGTTTGTTATCACAAAGCAGAAAATCTTCACATTCATTGCTAACGTGTTGAAGTTTCAGATTATCATTTGCTGATCCTATTTGATCCACCATTTGCACTGAATCATAAGAATATGGAGGATCAGGGATCACATTCCAAGGGATGGGACGTAAAGGGGATCGGTAACCTGTACCATCGATAATAACAGTTCAAAAAGTGATTACCCATGCATAAAAAGGGTACAACAATCATCAAAACTACAGAAAAAGCTGTACTGCACCTTGGCAATCTGGATCATGGCATTTCTGATAATAATCCGCCCTTCTCAAGTCAACAACATACATAACTGAATAAAAAAGGCATTGAAGCATATAAGCCTCTTTCTTTTATTTAAAGGAAGCAGTTGAAATTCCAAAACAATGGCAACCAAGTCTTTGAAGCAGCAGAAAAAGTTTGATGAACTTCAAAATATCTTAGTAATTTTTCCATTTGCAGTCGCATAACTTAAGAGTTTATACAGGGTATAGATTTCATGCATTGAGCACAAATATATTTTACTTGCAGCTAGAAGAAAAATAAAATAATATGAAGAATTACCATGATTGCTTTTATGCTCTCTACCAATTCGTTCACAATATCTATTTCTGGACATGCTGTAGACCATCAGTCCATACTCCGAGAACCAATACCAGCTTCGTATTTTTCCTAAACAGCAGAAAATTGTCAATAAGGAAACAAAGAAAATAAAAGGAAAAGCAGTCGATACCTAAAACATTTTACAGGAGAATTATGAAGCAAAAATAGGGAAAAGAATGACAAATTAATTTATGCTAAAGCTGAAGGTTATGTGATGAATCCCAGTGTTAGAAAAAATAAAATAAAATTGAAGGGCTGCTGGAATGAGCCCGAGTCCCAACTTCCCATAAATTTCTTTAGATTAACCTGAAGTTACTTAGAGTTGTAAAGGAAAATTCAGCAGGAGATGAAATCAAGAAGAAACTACAGAAGGATATCTACCATAAAAAAGGAAAAATCAAATAAAGCAGTTTTAACAGGTCCTGCTGTTTCAAGTGATGAAATTATTAGAAAACAGGTGACTTTTCATATTTTTTACCCTTAGTATCCGAAATGGGAAATCAATGGCTGCAGAAAATAAATGTTGAAAATGGCACCACCTGATATATTTCCGATTGAGGCAATAGATTCTATGAATTTGTCCAAGGCTGGGAATGGTGAGTTTCCAGTATCGCTTGGCACACCATTCAATGGAAATTCTTTTGGGGTGCAGTGTCTTCTGTAATCATAGTTGACCTACATTAGAAAAAATTATTGATAAAAAAAATCAGTACATTAGAAGCATGCTGCTTCTGAGAGAACCAACAATAACTAAACTTCAATCTTAAGAGAAGCAGTGGAAACAACTGGAGTACATGACAGTTAAAGCACTTTGAGGGTATTGCAAAACATAAAAAAATGAAGGAGGCTGCTCATCATTAGAACTAACACAGGGTTCAAACTTACCTCCGTATCAAATTGCAGGGTCTTCATACATTCCATGTCCATTTTGCAGACAAGAAGTTTATTGCAATCAACATCCATGCTGCAGATCAAGGATGACATGAACATGTCTTCTTCACACTGTTGGTCAACAAACCAGCATATTATT